GGGAGAGGACAGAGAAGACAGAGGGAGAGGACAGAGAAGACAGAAGACAGAGGGGACCAGGGAAGACGCAGAGTTCCATGCTGTTCCACCAAAGGAAACATGGCAGTGAAGCACAGGAAGAGCAGGGGAGGAAGAAGCATGCTGGTTATGTGAACATGGATCCTAAACCACAGTAAGGTATTGAAAACATCTGCTTTACAGATGTTGAATACTTAGATAGATCTGAGAGGATACACACCATGTGTGCTGAATGCACTGTAGTGAGAAGGTCAGAGAGGAGAGGCCCCTCACACACAGATGAGTGTGTAGAGAATAACTAACATAATACAATTACAATATAGGCAAATTCATATCATATTGTGGGAGGGGGGTCACCTGTGCTGACAGCAGTGGTGATGGGGAAGAAGGTTGCGGTCCCGTTCTGTGAGAGAGTCTTGATGGGGAGCTGGTGCTGGCCCAGCGGGGGGGCTTGCTGCAGGATGGTGAGTGTAGTCAGAGGAGTCTGCACGATGCGGCTGACTCCCCCTATGGAGGAGGCTGTGAGGGGGGGCACTGACTCCACTTTAACTGCCAGGGGTAGAAACACACATGTCACGCTCTGCTCACACACACAGCCTAACACACACTCATCACAGACTGAAGCAGCTCTTACGTTGGATCCCCCGGTGCGCTGCTCCTCCATTCTCATGAGGTTTCGGGCTCACTGTAGCAGTGGGCTCTCCGGCAACAGTTGCCATGGTGACGGCTGGGATCTGGTGGACAACGTGCACCGTCTGCATGACGGGGGCGGAGCTAACTGACATTGATACTATGGCTGGCGACGCCATGGCATAGGTCACTGGCTTCATGGTGGTTTGAGGCATCTGGCGCTGCACAGCGATCAGGACCGGCTGGTTGCTGAGGGGGGGGCCTGTCAGGGGGGGGGGTGCAGGTTACTGACAAGCTGTCTCACTACTCAAATGTACTGCCTTTCACTTCTGGCAACATAAACAATTACTCCACACAAAAAAAACGAGTTAAGGTTACTACATTGACATGACTTTCATCCTGGTGGTATTTGGGCACCCCTGTGGGGTCTGCAGTCCTCTCGTTTCATGAGTCTGCTCCACTCTCCTGGTTTCTGCTGGGCCTCCCTTGCCTCAGCAGGGTCCAGCAGCCTGGTGTCTGATCAGTGGACGGCAGTTAGCTCAGTCTGTCGGGCTTGACTTACTTGACCAACTGAGAATCGCCGTTTCAAGTCCCAATCAGACCAAACTAAAATGGAATGTAGACTGGTAGCTGGAGATGGTGCCAGTTCACATCCTGGCGAGGTCCCGGGTGCAAGGCATCGAACCCCCCCAACTGCTCCCTGGCGCCTGACAGAAAGCAGGCCTCTTTGTTCTGGAACCTTTTTATAATGCATGTGCATGTGTGCACATATACCTGTGTTCCAATGCATGTGTGTATTTGTACCGTTGTGTATCCCAAAAAAAAAAATATTAACAGAGTGGAAAACTGAATTTCCACTTTCAATTCAATAAAGGTTCATCTTAATCTTAAGCATATAAGGTCCTGGACAGTTTGAGGGGACCCCCCCACCCTCTTGGCAGAGCTTGAGCCTGAGCTGAAGGAGTGTCAGTTGAACCTGCACACTAGAAATCATTTTGTCTGATGTTCCGGGGAAATGGACCCGATGACAAGCAATAAGAATAGCAAAAAACCAAGCTGGGGGGTCCCACTAACTTATGTAGGATTATACAGAGTCATCAGTATTTCAAAAAAGACTGTTTTGTCACCAGTTAAATATACTCCATGTAGTACATTTAACAAAGAATGGTCAACTTTGGTTACAGATCATCTTGAGAGGATAAATCTTTACCGTTGGAGTTCTGTGTGAAGCGGGCCTCTTGGATCACAGCGAGTTTGGGCTGGACTGTAGTGATTTGGGTGGGGGCTTGTGGGGGGTTGGCTCTGGCTCCATGGGGACAGGGGAGCCCTCTCTGGACAGGCTCTCTGGAGTCTGAACCCCGCTGGATACAGACAGGGCCCCCGTGTGGCTGGGGGGATGCCGGAGCACTCCTGGGACAGAGGACAGAAAGGATGAGTTCTGACACACACAATATTAATATGCACCATATAATAGCTGACAGCTCCCATGGGTCACCTGGAGGAGAGCGGTCCCATGGGTGTCCTGAAGCAAGGCACCCCCCTCGGCCGGCGCTTCCTGAAGGCTTGTTCCATCAGCTTGCCCTCCGAGGCGGGGTCGATCCTCCAGAAGGAGCCTTTGCCCGGCTCCTCCTGAGAGCGCGCCACTTTGATGAAGTACCGGTTCAGGGACAGGTTGTGCCGGATTGAGTTCTAGAACACACACATTCATGCATTTACATATGCACATAAATACAATGTATACATTTACATACAGCTAAACATTTAAAGGACCACTGCAAAAATATCCCTCAGGTTTTAAAGGTCCCATGTCATGCTTTTCCGGTTATTACCCGTCCCCTTGTTGTGTTATGAAGGTGTTTTATGCATGTACAACGGTCCTGCAGAGTCAAAGACCCTCAAAGTACACCCGAGTAAAACTCTAACACAGAAATACCTCCCCAAAACGCCTCGTTGGAGATTTCTCATTTACTTCCTGGGTATCGCTACGTAGGGATACCCAGTAGCCACGCCCAGAGCTATGACCCTCTGCCAGCCTTTCAGGAAACAAAGCTTCATAAACCTTTCAGCGATTCATGCCGGATATGTACAGCGTAGGGCACTGAAGAACGATGCTGTTCCTACTTTGTTTGGTCCAAACAAAGTAGGAACAGCATCGTTCTTCCAATGGACCAGCGGGAGATTCGGGTACACAACCTGTAAGTATTCATTGTTGTTTGTCTATTTATGTTGTTTAAAAACAAACAAGGTATCTACCACGACTGTTTAAATGGGTAAACGTTGTTCAGGCTGCTAAGTTGGGATCGCAGAGAAATGCTCTCCGCAGACCCGTTCTCACAGCGTTATAAACCTTTTTCTTACTCATATCAAGCCACATTTATTGTTTTTACTTCGGCGGTGAGTGTTTGTGTGCTCAGGATGAGTTTCGCTTGTTCTCGTTGTATCTGTATCGCTATCACGGAAGCCCTGTCTGCTCCTCACAGCAACGTGCACGCATGACCAATCAGAGCACAGTGGGCTCACAGGGAGGGGGGGGGCAGGAGCTCCAACAAGCCGTGTAGGACAGAGAGTGAATACACATACTTTACAGAGATGCTGTATGAGAAACCAATGTGAGTTTGGAAAATTGCACAGCATACATCTATTCTAGTAGACCTCAACAATGGAATTATGATCAGTAGAAATGGCCATGACATGGGACCTTTAAAAAGGGGACATATCATGCTATATTTGAACAATATATTGTAGGGCCATACCTATATAAAGTATATAAATATAGTTTTTTTTTCAAAATACCAAACAGATCCTGCATTTTAGCCATGCCTCATTTCGCTCTACTTGCTCTTTTCCAGCGCTGTTTTTGCAGGGGGCTGATTCTGTGAGCTGCAGCTGACCACGCCCCCCTGCAGGAGAGGGGAGCGTGCTCTGAGATCAGCTGCTGGGCTGCAGCGGGGAGAAGAGGGGGAGAAAAAGAGATCTCCGTCCTCCGTGTTTTATTCTTATAAAGAAAGAAGAGAAGTAGCATAGGCGGATTTTGCGGGGGAGCAGGGCATTGCCCCCCCTGGTGGCTGAAATATGTTACAGCATTACTACGTCGAAAACTGTTCCAATACAAATATTTCGTATATCAATATTTTAATAAGGTAGGACACTGATTAATAATATTATAGCGTGTTCGAGTAACCAAGGGATGTAGTAGTTATCAAATCAGTATAAGATGTGCAAAGTTATGTAATGCACTGTTGTTGGGGGGGAGAGACCGCCCCTTCCATATGACTGTGTGTGTACAGCGGGCATGGAAAAGTCATACTCAGTGCGGGTGAGTTGCTGGCTTTATTGCTACTGTATCCGTAGCACCCCCACGCAATAGTTGGGACCAGGGTTTTCGTTAGCCGGTAATTACCGGTTTTTAGCTGGTAAAATTTAATAAAAAACTGGTCTTGTGGTGTAAATTCAAAACCTGCCGGTCAAAATGTCCGATGCTCCTATCGATTGGCCGCCGATCATTATCGGCCCCGATATTCACTCTTAATAATTTGATCTGTGCCTCTATACAAGGCCCGATCAGAGAGCTGGTATCTGATCGATATGGACATAAACGCGGAGTGAAGTGTAACCGGATGCGGAGAGAGAGATCAGATCACAGCTGCTGCATAATCACCTGAAGCCCCGCCACTGTTTAGTGAGCTGCATAGAAAACTTGACGGGCTGTCAGGAGAGAGAGAGGACCAGGGAGATGAGAGAGAGAGAGGATCCGTTTTCTCCCGTGTTATTATTCAAAGTAATGTAAACTTTTGAATAATGTACTTCATCTACTACAAGTAGTTTATTTGAATGTAATAATTATGTTGTTTGTTGTTTACGGAATCATTTATTGAAAAATGAATCTGAATTTTTTCCGATCCTGCTAACGATTATAAACTGACGCAATATAAAATGAGCCCATTAACTGAGTTTTAAACATCAGCATATCCGGTCATAGTCCGGTAATGACCTGCTAACGGAAACTCTGCTACACAACTCTTATTATTATTATTGAAACATGACCGGTAAGTTTCAAATTTGTCCGGTAAAATAAATTCTGTCCGGACATTTGACCGGCGAGAAAAAAATCATAGCGGAAACCCTGGTTGGGACGTCAGTAAAAAAAAGGTTTGCCCCCCCAAGCTCAAATGTCAAACTCCGCCTATGGCAGAAACCCTCCTTTTTACGCAGCGGTCCAGACATAGACATCAAACGGCGACACATATTCAGTTGCCAGTTACTTTTGCATTAGGGCAGGGATATCTAGATACTTTCCAAGGTTTGACATCATGAAGTGTGCTACTTTTACAGCAAGCAGCGAGGTTTTTTCAATCTGTAATCAAAAAGCTCCTCAAAAACACTATCGAAGGCAGTTTCCTGCCGCGTGCTACGTTAGTTCAAACAGTAACAACGGACTATTTTTCTTAGCGGATGCATGTCAATTTTAAATCAATACATACAACTATTTTAAATCAATAAAATCATTTTCTAAAGCATTTCACTTAATATGTCGTACTTTGTCGAGAATGTGGCCAATGTCATAAGCAGGATAATGTGCACATTGCATAATGTGCCTTCATGCCGATCTAGATCCCTCCGCCTCAACATCACTCCTGATCAGCCTGTCGGTGTTTCTTTTCCCCATAATGACCGCGTCGCTGCACATTATCCCTTACATATGATTATATAGAGTCATTATTCATTTGTTTTAAGCAGGAGGTGCAAACGCTCGGGGAGGGAGGAAAAGAGCCACAGCGGAGAATAAACAGAAGGGTAACCATTGGAAACCATGCACGGGAAGTCTTCTTCGCTGCTTTTGTGGCAGACTACTGCGCCACTTACAGGTCTGGCATATGACCTACAGCATCTCCAGCGCTTTCGATGCGCAATGGCCAGCCGTGGCCCAACCTCTCATTTCCCCTGATAGGTGGAGAATTGGACAATAAGCGGAGCACCACTTTTGTGACTTAGGAAATAATTGAAATCTTGGATCAGTCTGTATCAGATCCATTACAGCCCCTTTTTTCAGAGATTTGGGTATGGAGGAAAAGAGAGAGGGTTGGGTTTTTGACACTTGGTGAGTTCCCTGACACACCGGGGACACATATTCATGTATAAAAGACGTACAAGAGTTGGGCTGGGCGATTTGCCTAAAAATAAAATCGCGATTTTTTTCTAACTAATGGACAATTTTCGATTTAAACCCTCGATTTTTTTCTGTTTTTTTCTAAACAAACCAGACCAAGGCTCTTTTAAGTGAACGACGGGAGCCGGCTCTCGCCCGCGAACGAGCCGTTTTTTTTGCAGAGGGATCTGATCGGCATGAAGGCACATTATGCAAGTGCACATCATCCCGCTTATTACACATGGCCACATTCTCACAAAGTAACGGACATGACTCCCAATATTAATTGAAATGCTTTTATGGATTTAGAAAATGATTTTATTGACTTAAAAATAGTTTTATGTATTGATTTAAATTGACAAGCATCCGCTAAGAAAAGTAGTCCGTTGTTACTGTTTGAACTAACGTAGCAACGGCAGGAACTGCTTCGATGGTGTTTTTGAGGAGCTTTTTGATTACAGATTTGAAAACATCGTTGCTTAAAAGTAGCACACTTCATGTAGGCCATAAGGTGAACCCTGTTATCGTTTCATCCCGCTCCACAGAAGTGGAACTACACAATCTTTAGTTCATACAAAAGAACGAGTCATGCAAATAAATGAATCAATGCTCATTGGTATAAGTACTGCATTTTATTGATCTAAATTACTTAACGTAACAAGTTAACCTTCTTCTTGGACGCAGCTATGTATGAAATCAAGTCATGTGTATTGTAAGAGTGCATTTAACGTGTACAGGGTAACAATAACAACAGACAGACAAACAAAAAGTCCTCAGTCTAATGGAATAATCCACGAGCTCAGCCAATGAACCTAGCGATGCGAACATGGTAGTCCAGGAATGTTGTTGTAGCTGGAGTTGGCTGATAAACGCTGCTAGCCAATGTTGATTCGATGGTCAACTTCTGTTCCCCAGATAGTAAAACCTCTCACAAATACCGCGTATATACGCAAATACCTCGGACTTAGTGATGTATTAAGAAATATGACAAAACATGACATAAACAAGCATACGCACTGTTTAGAATCCATTTGGTCTGGTTTAGCGTAACCATGTAGGCGGCCATTCTTTCACTTCTGTTGACAATATGCAGCTACCCAATTGGTGTAGCACGATCACGTGACAAACCGTGGCACTACTTTTGACCAAGATATTATTACGCTTTGAAGGGACTAGTTCAGCCAATAATTACGTGCCTAGAAGAATTGACAGGAATTTTAGCGACGAACTTTTCTTTGGTGATAAGCATGACTCGTTCTTTTTTATGAACTAAAGATTATGTAGTTCCACTTCTGTGGAGCGGGATTTCTTTTCTAAAGGGACTTTCGAGGTTGCACCTTGCGGCCTAATGATGTCAGACCTTGGGAAGTATCTAGATATCCCTGCCCTAATGCCAAAGTAACTGCCAACTGAATATGTGTCGCCGTTTGAATGTCTATGTCTGGACCGCTGCGTAAAAAGGAGGGTTTCTGCCCCATTACTTCTCTTCTTACTTCTATAAGAATAAAACACGGAGGACGGAGATCTCTTTTCCTCCCCCTCTACAGACCGCCCAGCAGCTGATCTCAGAGCACGCTCGCCTCTCCTGCAGGGGGGCGTGGTCAGCTGCAGCTCACAGAATCAGCCCCTGCAAAAACAAGCGCTGGAAAAAAGCAAATGGAGGCGAAATGAGGCATGGCTAAAATGCAAGATATTTTTGGTATTTTGAAAAAAAATAAAATATTTATATACTTTATATAGGTCGATCCAGTAGCCCCTTTTTTTTAAAATAGTTTTTATAGGTGTTGCTATCTGTTTTGTGTAGCGTGGTTTCTACAAGGCAAGTCAATGCATTCATTGGGTGGTATCAGAGATTTACACGGGTCTGTAAATGCAATGAAAACAATTGGCCACAGCAAATCATTTATATTCAACTTTATTTACTTTATTTACTCTTGAATACTTCAGTACAAAGGATGTATTGAATAATTTAAGTGATATATGTGTACACAGAGCTGCAGATCGGGTAGTCACAGGCAATGGCGTAGCCAGGAATGATTGTGTGGGTGGGCCTGGAGAAATGTAGGTGGGCCAGGGGGAGACATATTAAGCGTGGGGTCTGAGCTGAAACTTCATTAATGATTTTAATGATTTTTTAATGCACTAATAGAACATAAGCATAAATTACAGTGAAAACAAAAACATAGGCACGGCGGCCTCAGAATGTGAGTAAAACTGACATCCACATAGGGATGGGTATCGTTAAGGCTTTAACGGTACTACTACTTTTATCGATAGCGCTTATGCTTATGCTCCAGGTTCAGTACCAACCATATCATAAAGTACGCGGACGATACAACAGTGGTGGGACTCATCAGGGACAACAACGAACAGGCCTACAGGGAGGAGGTGAAACATCTGACAGACTGGTGTAACACCAACAACCTGATCCTGAATGTCGATAAAACAAAAGAGATCATTGTCGACTTCAGGAACAAAAAGCACTGTCACCCACCACTCCACATCAACGGCACAGCAGTGAAGACTACAGACAGCACCAAGTTCCTGGGGGTGCATATCACAAGCAGTCTGACCTGGTCCACTCACACTACATCACTATTTAAGAAGGCACAGCAGCGCCTACACTTCCTGCACAGCTCCCCCCTCCCATCCTCACCACGTTCTACAGAGGAACCATAGAGAGCGTGCTGACCAGCCCATCTCCATCTGGTCGAGAGACTGCAACGCCAAAGACTGGAAGTCTCTGCAGAGAGTGGTTAGGACAGCAGAGAAGATCATCGGAGTTTCTCTCCCTCCCATCAGAGACTCAGAAACGCTGCCTGACAAAAGCCCAGAACATGTTTAAAGACCCCACTCATCCTCACCATGCTCTGTTCTCCCTGCTGCCCTCCAGCAAGAGGTTCCGCAGCATTAAGAGCAGAACAGCCAGATTCTGCAATAGCTTTTCCCCCATGCCATCAGACTGCTGAACAGCAAGTAGACCAGTGACATAAAGATTACAATTACGCTGTGTAAAGAGCACTTGTTATATAGTATGTCTATTTTATTTATATGTATAGTAAGTCTTTATATTTTAAAACGCACACTTTCTTTAATGTTATCAGCAGCACGTCACTATTATTTATTTATATGTACAATTTAGCAAGTTTTTATATTGTCCTGTTCCTGTAAGCCAGTACAACGACATTTCGTTTTAATAGTACACTCTGTGTCTGGGTTGAAATGACAATAAAGTATTTCTATGTCTTATCAATCCGGTTCTTTTGGAGAAAAAAAATAAGGTAAACTACTAAACAAATTGTGAACAAAACTAACATTGCTTTTTATTTCAATTAAATACATAATATTCACATCAAAAGAAACAACAGTGTTTTAACAAATCGTATTAAATATGTGGATGACAGAACTGTGAACAGAATAGCTGAAACTTTAACAAAATAAATAACTCAGTTTTCCTCTAATCATTAACCCATGTTTGTATAATTGAGTTAACTCCGTGTGTTGCTGCGAGCATACATAACACCTGACGTGGAAACGTTACTCGTGGGATGGGGCTACAGAGCTACTAGAAAGACAGTGGAACCGTTGCATTCCTCCGTCTGAATGTGGAGCCCGTTTGCTAAATGGTTTAGACAAATTGCTCGTGTTACCGCCCTTACATGATAACTCTTATTCCACTTGTGGTAACTAGTATTGTCCACATCGAGACGGGTACAAACCACACCTCGAGCGCGTTCTCTCCGCCATCTCCTCCGTGTGTGTGTGTGTTGCTGCATGTAGCAGCTGCGTGTGTGTAAACTGCCCCGCCCCCTCGCTCATTCACTCACGGCAAAAGTTACTTTACTTGCTATAAAAACTCACGGTAAAAAATGCACTCCCTATTCCATTGTCATGAAGGGTGGAATCTAACTATATCCAGAATAAGTTTGATTGGATCCAGGCTAGAAACTGTTTATTTCTGCTGTAAAGTTGGGGGCATTTTAAACATGGGGGTCTATGGGAATTGCCTCCTTTTTTGCATCCATCCCCTGTCGGCCACCTAGATGAACTGCAGTTGTGTGGCACTGTCCTTCTGGGCTTCCCGGCTCTGCGCTATGAAGCGCTGATTGGCTGTGGGTGGGCCAGACGTGCATTGTGGTGGCCCAGGCCCACCCGGGCCCACCCACAGCTACGCCCACTGGTCACAGGCAATGTGGTTGAGTTGTGTGCGCGTTCTGGAAAGTGAGAGAGTAAGCTACTACGGAGTCCCTTAAAGCAAAACAAATTCTGCGGAGTCTAGAAATGTTTTTAAAATCGCGATTTTTTCGGTTCAGCCATTTCGCAAACCGTAGGAAAGTAAAATGCAAATTAATCGTTAAAACCGAAAAAATCGCCCAGCCCTACAGAGGGCATTTTGTATGATAGGTCCCCTTTAAGCTATTTAGAGGTATGTAATGAAGGTAAACATAAAATGTACATTTTTGTTCTATTCTGTAATGACAACATTTCTGCCCAAATTATAAATGAAAATATTGTAATTTTGAGAGAATTATTTGCAGAGAATTTAAACTGCTTAAATTAACAAAAAAGATGCAGCTGAAACAGGTTTCATGTTAATATTAAACATCAGCCTATTGATTTAACAAAGGGAGACTTAGAAATCAAAGCAGCTCCACTGTATCTGATCGTTTTGTGACGGTCCCGAGTTATCTTGATGATTTCTGAGGTTTACAATAGACAGTAACTGATGGTTACCAACAGTTCATGACACAGCTCTATTCAACATGTCAGAGCCATCATCAGACACTTGCTGTCCCTGTCAGAAAGACTCCAGTCCTGCAGTGCACTTCACTGACATATTTATTATCAACAGAAGACAGAATGAAAAATGCTGTCTCAATTTCCTGAAGGCAACAGTGACATCTTTAAGGCATCTAAAACCTGCGCACATTCCATTACATTGATATAAATACAGAGTAAAGCAGTAAATCCTGTGTCTGATAGCGCCTCAGATTTTTGCATTTACAATAACGCAACAGACACAGTCCTTAAAGAAAGGAACATTACAACCTTAGACATGCAGAGTGAAGAGTCTGACCTGCCAGCCTTTATCAGCTGTTCTGTAGTAGGGGTAGTTCTTGGTGATGTGGGTGTATATTCCATTCAGAGTCAGCTGTTTATCTGCCGCCATGGTGATAGCTTGGACTATCAGCTGTGCATACGAATATGGAGGTTTGGGAGTCGTCCGGTGGAAAATAAAGAAAGTTTTTGGCATCATGTGCTGGTAGTGGAGATGTGATTGGTTAATGTAAGGTCAGCCAGGTTCCTGTTAGACCAAAACACAAACACAGACTCAGTCCACTGTCCTCTACTCCAAAGTCTGTGTTGTTGTGAGCATTTTTAATGAGTAACCAGGCATTCTGTCCCGCAGCCCCTTTCGTAAAAAAATAAATATATCCCCTAAAATATATTTGAAAATTAAGCAGACACACTAAGAGTTTCCTCGCCCTCTCACCTTTGGGCTGTCTTCACCGGAGGCCTCCTTGTCATTTTCTGATTGGGAGTTGTCGCCTATCAAGTCCGAGGCCAGAACACGGCTCGGCCTGTAGCTGGAGAAGCCCGCCCCCCGCGGACTTGATGGACAGGAGTTTGCCGCACTGAGAAATCAAATAAAAAAAACATTTAGTATATGATATTGTTGTAAACTTCTACGTGCTCTGAGCATTGGCACAGAAGAGAAACAGAGCTCTCCCACCTGAGGGTGCCCGTTGGGGAAGGCTGGGGCTTATGAGGTGGGGCAATGTTGTCAGGAATGTTGATGGTCAGTGGGGAGATTTGGGGTTGGATAGGTTTAACTGGTGATTCTGGCACGTTCCTGGGCTCCTTCCTTTCATTGGACAGGACTGTGAACGTGATCTTTATAGTTGTGCTGGGAAACCGGAAACAACACCTGGGAACCAAAGAAAAGCACAAACAAAGATCAAGTGTGTGTTTAATGTCCAGGCAATTTCCATTTAAATGACTATGTATATTTGTCCACATTTGAACATCAGAAAGGCAATGTTTATTACAGTGCCAATAGGACAACTTCCTGCCTGGCAACAAGCAGGTCGAGGAGGTCTACCGAGAGCCAGACTCAGTTTAAATATGGACCAGGAATTACCACTATGGTGTATGATGGCGACAACATTGCCATATCATACCAAAATATATATGAAGATAAAATGTGAAATGAGTTACCAGAAGTACAACAGTGTAGGGGGGGCTTTTGGGGTAAACACAGACACACATGAGGCCATGCTAATACCGATGCACTCTGCGAACACACAAACATTATGTTCTATCACTCTGTAATCAAACATCCCCACTACTCTCTGTGTGTGGGTAAATCATGTTCCACCAAGAGTATGGATGCATGCATCAGTTTAACTATCATTATGTTGCTGCCATGTTTGTAAACTCTCGACATAAGGACCATGAATCAGGTTTAGGTTATCTGGCAGATCCGGCATGGAGCTGTGTGTCCACCCAGCAGCACGCACTCTCCACACAGCACGTGCACCACGCTGCAACACAACAACAACAACAACAACAACAACAACAACACACGAGCCGCTGACCCGCATATCTGTGCCATGAAGCAACCCAGCCTGGGATCTTACATTCGGGGGAGCTGGAGAGGAGGCGCCCCTCTCCTTTGGAACACCCCATCAATAAACACCCCGTTTTTCCCGAGGCACCGCAGATAGAACTCCCCCGTGCCGGTGCCGTCTTCTCCCGCGGTGAATATCTCGATGTGCCGCCGGGAGATGAAGCTGGAGTGTCCCATGCTGACGTCCACCGAACCCTGCGAAGAGTTCCGGCCGATGGTCACCGACCTTTTCTTCATCAGATACTCGAATTCTCGGCCCTCCAGTCGGGCTACAGACCCCGCAATCCCGCTAACCACCTCCATCTTCAGAGCTGGGGGGGGGGGAGGGGGGGGGGCGGTTAGTGTACGTTCAGTGGGAATTGAATGGGGTTTTTTTTGGTTTTGTGAAAAGGGGGGGATCCAATTTTACACCGTGGAGAATTTGGCTAAGAACATGCCAGACCCGGGACACAGCGGCTCCGACCCACCGCCGGGAAGAAGAGGAAAAGAGAGCGGCGTCGACCAATCAAACCGGCCAAACGGACGGAAAGTACTGCGAAAGACAACCCGTTAAACCAATGGGAAGTCGACATGATCAGGCAGATGTGTGGTGTTTACCAAAGACAACAATAATAAAGAATAGCCGGAGAACGTAAGCTCGGTTGCACTGCAGGCTGACACGCTGACGGTGGATGGGCAAAAAGTGGAGCAGTGATTTAATTGTTTCAAAACCAATTTGTTGTCCACTCTGCTCTGCTTATCTCCTCCTTGTTTATTCTATCCAAACTTCTATGTATACAATCCACGAGCATTTGTCAATAATAATTCATTCCAAGAGAGAGGTTGATGATTTTAATTAGGCTACTTTACCTCCGTTGTCGAACAAGCTGGGAACACAACAGTGATATATCATTACCTCATTAAGTTGATAAGGCACATTACTATTTACACATATAGCCTCATACGCTTTTATTTGCATTTATGTTGAATGTGAGTAAAACATTTTTTCCTTGTAGCTACTTTTCTGCTCTCAAGTTCGAAATATCTGACTCTTTAGCTTCTAAATCCTACACTACGTGCATGGCTTTGTGGAATTGGCCTTTGGTGCTGATCCAGGAGTCTATGTACGTTTTTTACTGAAAAATGTTTCAAAATGTATGCATGTTCATCTCAGTGCTCATCAAAGCTTCCATTGGAGAAAGGTAAAGCATGTTTTAAATAGTGTTACAGTGCTATACTCTGCTGTTATGATAGGCATAATAGTTCTTACTGACAGGCCCCTCTGGTGTCTTAAAATCCACTGCAGGTTATATAGATATATTCCAAAAACGTTCTTAGAGGCAAAGTCATGTGAAGGGAACGAATTGAAGGAAATAATCCTTTATATACAGTAAGATACAATTACAAGTAAAAGTAAGCCAAAATATGTGCCAGTTACCCAGTTGAAGCTTTTTTTGGTTTTACTAGTTGATTAGTTTTTCACATTATCTTTCAACTATTTAATTAAATGTTCACTAATTAACAAGTTACCTAGTTTAGAAGTGAGGCTAAAATTGTCTAGTTAAACAAATACAATTCATTAAATTATCCAGGTCAAACTATTTAAAATGTCTTTGGTCATATGTAGTTAACCAGTAATGTCGATGAAGTTTTAACTAGTTACCTATTGATCATATTTGCCTTAACTACTTGATGGTGTATTACACACTGTACATCGGATGGTGTATTACACACTGTACATATGATGGTGTATTACACACTGTACATCTGATAGTGTATTACATACTGTACATCTGATGGTGTATTACACACTGTACATCTGATGGTGTATTACACACTGTACATCTGATGGTGTATTACACACTGTACATATGATGGTGTATTACATACTGTACATCTGATGGTGTATTACACACTGTACATATGATGGTGTATTACATACTGTACATCTGATGGTGTATTACACACTGTACATATGATGGTGTATTACATACTGTACATCTGATGGTGTATTACACACTGTACATCTGATGGTGTATTACACACTGTACATCTGATGGTGTATTACATACTGTACATCTGATGGTGTATTACATATACTGTACATCTGATGGTGTATTACACACTGTACATCTGATGGTGTATTACACACTGTACATCTGATGGTGTATTACACACTGTACATCTGATGGTGTATTACACACTGTACATCTGATGGTGTATTACATACTGTACATCTGATGGTGTATTACATATACTGTACATCTGATGGTGTATTACACACTGTACATCTGATGGTGTATTACATACTGTACATCTGATAGTGTATTACATACTGTACATATGATGGTGTATTACACACTGTACATCTGATGGTGTATTACATACTGTACATCTGATGGTGTATTACACACTGTACATATGATGGTGTATTACATACTGTACATCTGATGGTGTATTACATACTGTACATATGATGGTGTATTACATACTGTACATCTGATGGTGTATTACACACTGTACATCTGATGGTGTATTACATACTGTACATATGATGGTGTATTACACACTGTACATATGATGGTGTATTACACACTGTACATCTGATGGTGTATTACACACTGTACATCTGATGGTGTATTACACACTGTACATATGATGGTGTATTACACACTACATATGATGGTGTATTACATACTGTACATCTGATGGTGTATTCTATAACACATACACAGCAAAAACCAGTGTACATTGTACTCTATAAGAGTACATTTAACACCAGTCTCGGGGTGTATAGGTCCAAGAGTTTGGTGTTCTCTGAACACTGTCAAAAGAGTAACATATAAACTCCAAATAAAGAGTTAGATTCGAACACTTTGGGAGTCAAAATATACACTATAACTATATTACACTGTTTGAGTGCTTTCTAACACGTGCAGTGTAAACCTAGAACCCTCAGAGTTAACATGTACTCTTAGTCAGTCTGTTAGTGTCACTGTGCAGAGCTGATTATTCAACACTTTGAGAGAGAACATGTGCTCCATGGTCATTTTTCACACTGTTTCAGTGCTGTTTAGCTGATGTGCACCAAGCAAACCATTTTGGGGTGAATCATTAACACTTCAGGAAATAAAGTACACATCAGATTCTTGAAAACATGCGTTTATTTAAAAAAATGTGATTTTGATGCGTTTTAAATTAGGGCTGTCAGTCGATTAAAAATATTTAATCACATTTTTGATCTGTTCTAAATGTTCCTTAGAGGAATATTTTTCAAGTTTTTAATACTCTTATCAACATATGAGTGGACAAATATGCTTTATGCAAATGTTTATTATCATTTGAACAATGACAAATATTCTCATGAATATTAAACACAACAACCTCTGAACATTACAAATATTCACCTCAATTCAACCTGGAACCTCTCTCATACAATACAATGTCTGTCTGTGTGTGTGTGTGTGTGTGTGTGTGTGTGTGTGTGTGTGTGTGTGTGTGTGTGTGTGTGTGTGTGTGTGTGTGTGATCGTTGGAGCTATGTGCAACTCAAGGCATATGCTCGAACGGGAGCTGCCTGGACGCTGCAATCATGTTGCGCACTATCCGTGCTGAGTGTGCTGACTTTTCGTACAATGTCCCACTGTCTGGCTTCCTGCATAAAGTCAAGTGCTCGGCGCAGTTGTGGCGAAATGTCGCTCCTCTGTTTTCATTTAAACAGCTCCGTATATCCGTTAGCGCAGCTAGCTAGCACCAGATGCTAACAACAACAATACACGTAAGGTCTCTCCCGGTCCTCCCAATAGCCAGTCGGTGCCTGCCGGTGAGCGTGGAAGTGTGGTCTGCCACAAGCGGGCAGCAGGAGTGGGGCTGTCAGCATCAGCTTGTAGATGGTATTTTAAACTCGATGCGCTCTGAAACTACGGGGCGGCCGAGGACAACAAATACACATGCGTTAATCGCGTTAAAATAATTAGTGGCGTTCATTTTTGTTTGCGTTAACGCGTTATTAACGCATTAACTTGACAGCCCTATTTTAAATATAACATCTAATCAGTAGCAACATCAAACAACCCAAATACATTGGTCATAGGTGGAAATGTGTGTGCATTTGCTCATTAGACCTCTTTAGGCTGGGGAAACACTTTAGAGGTCATCATTCCAAAATACTGTTACAACAAATGGACAACGTGGAATACCATACACTAGTGCTAATGTGCAAAGTAAACTGACAACAATATTGTTTTGAAAGACTAACAATCACAGAGCAGGATGACCAACATCTAAAAGTGTACATGGCAACCAGTTTACATCAATGTTGTAGATGGTGGTCTGCAAAAATGTGTACATGCCGTTTGAGGCCTGGTCATAGGAGATCCCAAACACATAATGTGCTTTAAAAAGTTCATCAAAACTGACAGGGAAGACTTGGCCTTGCAGGGAAGGAGCTCACCATCCAACGCAATGTAGTACTCATGGAGCTGTTTCTTGTGGTCCCAACTGCTAGGATGTAGGGTTGCCTCCACTGGACCAGAGTACTCCTGAAGGCTGGAGATGACTGTAAGATAACAATAAACACAAATCATATTTTGATGGACGGGTCAGACACTGACAAAGACCTTTGATAGCAAATCAGATCAGCTCGGCAGAAGAAAAACAGAAGTCAAATGCAACATACACATTAATGCAGCAGTAATATAAAACCTAAAAGCATCCCAAAAATAGTAAAACACTGACAGGAACAGTTTCACTGCACAATGAGTGCTTTTACTGATACTTAAAGTACATTTAGCTGATTATACTCGCATACTTTTACTTAAGTCAGGTTTTAAGTGCAGGCCTTTTACTTCTATTGCACATGTACAGTACCAAATGTAGTGCGAAGAGTTAGACTTAACTGTTAACAGCATTATATCAGGCGGGAGGCGAGAGCTTTGAAATCATTCAATCTACATGAGTAACGTAAATTGGCGGTAGCTAAGCTAACAGCTGCTAACATTAACGGTCACATTATTTCAAACGGTGCCTGCAGACTGGAGTTGATTATCGATTAAAAAAACATGTATTCAAGGCCGCTGCGGCACTTCCGTAACGTTACCCCCTGTCGAATGATTGGAAAGAGGAGCGGTTTCCCCCTGAGTCAGTGTGAATGAAGCCTAACAATTAACACGGGAGCGGCAGCTAAAATAGCAAAGAAACACATATTTCGTTGTCAGAATAACGTTAATCTGATTGACTACGGCTAACGTTACCGGTGCAATAACTTCACAAATATTCTACTTGCTAACGTTATCGTGTTTTAGTTGTTTAGTTATACAAATTAAAACAAGAAGACAAATATGAATATTCAGAATTATTCACTCGGTGTCTACTTACCTAGCGTTACAGTCCTGCGGAGAAATGTTGCCGTGTTCGATCCATGGATGTATAGATCTTGCATCAATCTGAAATGATCACGGACGCGCTTTTCCTGGAGAATATTTTCAAAAAACCGAGGGTCACGAGGCTGCGTTAAACCAATGAGAAGGCGCGGCCTATCTGATGACGAATCGAAACCTAAAATCGATGCGGACCGGACAGACTCAATGCAAAAATATACTCTGAGGGAGTCCATCATCCCAGAATAAACACTACACAAGTCAACACTAACACCACACAAAGAATCAACACCAAAGAGAGGTTCTGGTGCACTCTGAGAAGTGTACTTTATGTCCATTCTACTCCAAAGTGTAACAATGTCTACTCTGGTCATCAGTACTCTGGGATTTTAACACTTTGGTATTTGCTGTGTAGGTTTGAGCAAGCTCTCTGATTGGTCAATAGGCGTGTTTGATTCCACGATCAAACAACGATCAAATAAGAACGTGCCTAATCACAAAGTATCCAGTGGCCTACACACGCCACTAGCCTACCGAAACTACTTCCATGAGCCTACATCGTGTGGTTTCCATAGCGACGTTTAGCGACACACAGCCGTTACACTGTTATACATTGTCTCTCGTTGGAAATCGGTAGCTACAAAATGTCAGATTTTAAAGTTAATTTTGATTTGTTGGGGGGCCTCAGTATTGATGAATGGTTGGACATGGACACAGACAGAAAGATGTGGAGCAACGCGCTTTTTGCCGGTCCGGGACACGCCATGAAACGGCCACTGGAGGAAAGCTCTTCCTACAACGTAGTCCTACCCGTGAACACCACAGCACCACCTGCAAAAAAGTCTGGCATGGAGTTCATGGAGAGCTGTTGCACTTTTAATGGCAGCATGAACATCCACCTTCATTCTGAACCCCAAATGTTTCAGCACCATGGACAGCCTGATTGGATTTGGTCCGCTAATCCCACACAGTGATTACTCAAATAGCCTAATTCAAGAATTGTTTTCAATAAATTGTTTTCAATAAATTGGTTAATAATATATTATTTACTATAATTATATCAATAACTGTAATCGGGGTAGCAGGAGTGTTCGATTGATCGACTATCGTTACCATGGGAACTACTTTCTAGGAACTACTTTCTGACGGAGATTAACTCAAGCAGAAAGCGTAGGTTTGGGAGCAAATTAGCCCACATTATGAAATTATTTTACGATATTGTTGATTACAATGATATTTTGTGTAATAGAATCGCAATCTGCCGCAGTACTGTCGTACCAATAATGACGTTCAAGAACGGCCTCTCGTGTATGATTGCTTAATTACACACTGTAGCCTACATGTGAGGGTGTATTACACACTGTACTGTACATGTGAGGGTGTATTACACACTGTACTGTAAATCTGATGGTGTATTACACACTGTACATGATGGTGTATTACACACTGTACTGTACATATGATGGTGTATTACATACTGTACATATGATGGTGTATTACACTGTACATCTGATGGTGTATTACACACTGTACTGTACATGTGAGGGTGTATTACACACTGTACATATGATGGTGTAATACACACTGTACTGTATTTCTGATGGTGTGTGTATTACACACTGTACTGTACATATGATGGTGTCTGTTGGAGTGAAACTTCAATCCAGTGCTGCCCCCTGCTGGTTCCTTTATAGTTCTGAAGCTATTCTCACTACTTGAGTACTGTAGTAGTGTATGTTTAGGAGCTTATGGGGCTTGTGTGACTTTAGATGCATGTCTAATATCACCTACAGGTCGAGACTGCCTTATATTTGGCACTTAAGCACCAGATTTGCTAATTGTATACAAATATGCCATTTCATTTGAGTCTGTGGTAAAAGCTGTTCTTCTGGAAACTGATTGGCCACTGAGGTTTGCTGTACCAGCCTAGTAGGTAATAGGTACAGTATCATGACGTAGTAACTGTTAAAATGACTGTTTGAAAAGACTCAAAGCGCTCATTGATTTTTTTATTGAATGTTGTGACTATTTAGTAGTGCTGTAGCGACGCGTCGACGACTTCAAAATATCGTCGACTTCAAAATATCGTCGACGACATATTTCCGCGTCGACGCGTCGCTACACACACGTGGGTCACCCAAAGCAACAAGCAGTTCGCAATCGCAATTCAAACACAATGGAGACTGAAACGGCTACCACCTCCTCCTCACAGGATTGCGCACGAAGCCCCCAAACGAAAACATCTCGCCCTAGATCTTCAAAAGCATGGGAATATTTTAAAGTTAGTCCAAAACGCAAAGATATTTATATATTTATATCTCACTGAGACTGCTGCATAGCCTAGCAGAAGCAGCAGCTAGCTGTGGTGGCTACCATTAGCAGCTAGCATTTGCTCTTCGATTTTTTACATAAAATGGAATTATGGATTATAAATCATCATTTATCATTTTTTTATACATAGACGTTAAAAACCTATGGATTAACCGATTCAGCCGCGTTTTTTCTCATTGTAATGCCATTGAACACGTCTTTTGATCAGATTGACAGCTACGGTGGTGAGACGATCTCCCTAGAAGCTCTGTGAAGGTACGTGTTGTGATGACTGTATTTGCTTCCCCTGTCGCGAGTCCGGATCACTCAGTGATGATACTATCAGTGGCGGCGGGTCATTAGGGGCAGGTGGGGCACAGCCCCACCTAGTGTCAGAAGAAAGTATTACAAATAATGATTACAAAAAAATACTAAAAAATAAATAAAAAAACATATAAAATATATTTTAAGGTCATGTTTAATAATCTGATTCGTCTGTATATTTCTGTTTTAGTCTGTGTTCTTCTAATTAGTGTCTAGAGTGCCGTTTTGAGCTGTTTAGAGCCATGTGGGACAAAACCTGATCCTGCCCCTCCCTCTCACAGTCTAAGTGAACGGTGATTGTAAAAACTACACTGCGCATGCTCAGAGTATTTTTCTATTTAATGTGTGTGGCAAAAAAATAATGACCGTAGGGGCATAGTGCTCCCATCCCCACCATACGTCATCTCACATAATTCAGAATTGATTGGCTGTAAGTACTCACGTGTGCAGTGCTGCGAAACGTCACGTGTAGTTTGAAGAGGAGACGAGAGAGCAGCATATAGCTAACATCACCAGCGATTAAAAGAAGTAAAAAACTGAAAGAAAATGAATGAAGTTGACCATTTACTGGAGCACACATTTGAGACACTTAGTCTCGGAGAGAAACTGGAGGTAAAGCGCCTCGGTGCCCACCATCAACCGGATTTCCAAATGGTCCAGACTGCGGGCAAAGTTAAACGTGGGTTTAACGCTGAGTGGTTTGCTAAAAAGAAATGGCTAACGGCGAGCATCCAGAAGAATTCCCTCTTTTGCTTTCCTTGCCTGCTTTTTGGTGAAGATCAAGGTACTTGGTCGAGGACAGGTTACAAGGACTTAAAGCATCTTTCGGAGAGGACAATGAAGCATGAGAGCAGCAACAGTCATTTGGAAAATGCCGTAAAATTGGGATTACTTGGAAGGGTGAATGTTGCAGCTCAGATTGACAGCGCCTACAGACGCGGCATTGATTCTCATAATAGGAAGGTGGAAGAAAACAGGTACGTGCTTGGTCGGATCATCACCTGTATTAAACTGTGTGGGAAATGTGAGACAGCACTGCGGGGCCACAACGAGTCGGCGGACTCTCTGAATCCAGGGATATTCAGGTCAATTTTCGAGACAATGTGTGAGGGCGATTCCAGGCTTCAACGGCACTACGAAGCTCAGCTTGTTTTCAAAGGGACATCAAGCACCATACAGAATGAACTCTTGGATTGCATGTATGATGTGTACAGGGAGGAAATAGCCAAGCAAGTGGACAACACATCATTTGTTGCCGTTCAGGCCGACGAGACAACCGATGTCTCCTGTAAATCGCAAATGGTGATTGTGCTGCGATACATTATGCCTGACCTCACAGTTACAGAGCGTTTTTTGGAGTTTGTGGAAGTAAAGGACAAAACTGGTGTAGGTCTCTCTAACAGCATCAAGGCTGTTCTGGAACCCCTGAAGCTGAAAGAAAAGCTAATCGCTCAGACCTATGACGGGGCGGCCGTCATGAGCGGTAACGTGCGCGGGGTACAGACGGTGATGAAGGAGACGTACCCAAACGCTCAGTTTGTTCACTGCTACGCCCACCAACTGAACCTGACCCTGCAGCAACTGTGTTCAGCAAGGATGAGCATCCTGAAGGTGTTTTTTGCAGATCTAACTGCTTTTTCCACTTTTTTCTCCGGTGCTCCAAAACGTGTTGCAGCTCTTGCAGAGGCAACACAGAGACGCATCCCACGGCCACCGGCTGTGAGATGGAACTTTAAAAGCAGAACTGTGAACGCGGTTTGGGAGACCCGAGATGCACTACTTCAGTGTATGAAGCATATACGCGCACAACCAGGATGGGATGCGGTCACCATAAGTGAGGCATACGGCCTGTCAAAGAAACTGCGGGACCGAGCATTTATGCAGCTCCTGGAGTTTTTTTCGTTGCTTATGCCAGAAGTGGATGTTCTATACAACACTCTGCAAAAACGAAGCATCGATGCACCTGGGATCAACAGCGCGCTCTGCCGTTTCAAGGAAAATGTTCAGAAAATGAGGCAGAAAACTGATGCATTGGCCGCCACTGCTCATGATGGAACAGACGAGCCAGGCCGACGAGTCAGCAGCACAGCGCCGGTGAGGAAGGAGGCTTGTGACACAGTCATCTCACAGGTGGAACAGAGGTTCTCACAGAGTGACCATTTGATCGCTGCAAAGCTTGTTGACAGCTCATTCTTCCCACAGCATGTCCTGTCATTTCCTACACCTGAGCTTGACTGCGCCGTGAAACTGTGGCCTGCGTTGGGAAACAAGGAGAAGTTGAAGTCTGAGCTGACCACGCTCTACCGCCACAGTGAGCTTCACACTGGAAACACTGCCCTGTCTCTGTTGAAATCCATTCACGAGAACAACTTGGAGGAAACGTTTGCTGAGACTGTTATTTTGGTCAAAATAATAGTGACAACTCCGATGACGACATCCGAGTCAGAGAGGAACTTTTCCACCCTCAAAAGGATAAAGACTTTCACTCGCAACAC